TAAAATAAAATAAAATTTTAACAACAGCATTAATATTGGCTGGGAAAAAAAAAAACCCAAAAAATATTTTAAAAGAAAATAACCATGATATAATTGATTGCCAATTTTCAATATCATTTAATTTCAAGATATATGATTTTGGGGGCTAGGGAGATGTCTCAAGAGTTAAGAGCAATAGCTGCTCTTTCAGAGGATCTGGCTTTAGTTCCCAGCATCCATATGGCAGCTGACAACCACCTGTAACTCCAATTCCAAGAGAATCTAACACTCACTTCTGGCCTCTGAGGTCATTGCATGACATGGGTGCACTTACATACTTACATGCAGACAATACAATCACACATATAAAATAAAATAATGAAATATTTAAAAGATATATGATTTTCATCAATCAAGTTAAAACAAGACAAAACTTTCAATAAGAACACAATCTAGCCTTCATTCACAATCCACAGTTTGTTTGCCTTAGAATACGATCCTTCTATATTCGCAACAGAATCCCACTTTTGATGACAAAGTCTATGGATATTCTCTTTAGAAGTAAGGCTGAGGGGAAGGGAGGGGTAAACCAAGCCTTGTGATATTTAAAACTATTGTACAACCATCATTACCTGCCAAATGGATATATGAAGTGTGGATCCCTTAGTGATCTTAGAAATATGAACTGTTGTATAAATATACAATCTAATTCCACAAAATTAAATTGCCACTGAAAAGCTCTAGGATATACTCTCATAAAACCAATGTGTGAAATCAGAAGCTTGGTCATTTCAATCAATGCTGTCATCATGAATGCCTAAAATGACTGAATGAAATACATTTGTAAATTATCACAATGCCACCAAAGAGCTGCAAAGATCTCAAGGAATAAAAAGAAGAATCTCTAGAAGTGAGGGGTTCACAAAATGCTGTGGTCTAGGACTCAGCACCTATGCCCCAAATGTGAACATCCTGTTGAGTTTCCTGGGGGTTATGGAACCAAATACAAAAGCCCAGAGACCACCCAAATTGTAGGTTCTCACTCTCGCCACAAGTTCCCTGGGACTCAACGGGCTTCAGACCCAAGAAAAGCAACCCATGTAGTAGTTACAGCAGTTACTACTGCCTGAATATTATGTTATTGAGATTGACTGAAAGTGATCATAAACCTACAGTTCCCTTTGGTCAAGTCCACTTGGCATTTTTCAGAGACAGTATGGTGCAGTTAAGCTGTTCTAACGTGCAGGTCATTTTAGAAGCTGTCAGAGATATTTTCTGCTTTCTTTCTCTCTCTCTCTCTCTCTCTCTCTCTCTCTCACACACACACACACACACACACACATGCACACACACACACACAAACTTATGCACACCCATATGTACACACACACACACACTTGACTCACTTTTATTTGGTGCATTAATAACCATCACTAGAACTGGATCCCCTCTGGATCCTGTCTCTACTTTCTTCCTCTGGCCTTAGGTGTTGTCGAGGACTCTTTGCTTCTGCTACCATGAGCAGATCCCACAATCAATAGAGAGGAAGAACAAGGTATGATGATTGATGGTACTAATACCTTGACTAAATCTTGACACCTAGAATCCAAACCTTACCGTTCTTACTCTAGCAAGGCCTTTCAAAATTGAATCGTTACAAAGTAAATTCCATTCTCTATTTCCTAGAGTTCTGATAGGGAAGAAAACAGTTCCAGTAAATATAAGTGAGGTGGTCCCAAATAGTTCACCCTCTCCACATAAAAGTCAAGAAGAAGCCTGGAACTTCCGGATGCGGCAGGGAATCTGACAACTTCTAAACTGGCCTGCGGTTTCGACCAAGTTTTAGATGGGGAAGGTGGATCTTCCGCACATCAGTGAAAACCACTGTGATGGTTCAGGGTAACTTTTAGAACAATACTATACAATTCATCTTAGATATATGAGTAACAAAAGCAAAATCAAAGGAGTGCCACATCTGATGGCAAAGAGCAGGCTTGCTAGAGGAAGAAGTTTGAGTTCAAGTCTGGTCTGCTCCATTATTGATATATGTGACACTGAGAAACTGGTCTGAGAACATTTCTAATTTTGCTATACTATAAAATGACACAGAAAGTCTGGATAAAATTTGGGGCTGCGTGTTTACATGGACTTCTCAGTGGTGGTATATCCTAAAAGAAGTGAAGTTTACATAGAGGGTGTGAGGGTACAAGTGATTCCCACCCTATTACTACATTGGGGCAGAAGAGAAAGGGAAGACTGCTTCCCTGCTCAGACTCTGACGGCAGCCATGGTTTTAGAGAATCATGCAGGGCTTCAAAGGGATGCATGCAATCCCTTTACATCCTAATAGGATAAAGTTTATGCATAATTCTGTGTGACCCTTCAACTACTGACGTTCATACCATGTTATTGCTTGAGTTGCATGTTAAGCAAGCAAATTTTCAATGAACTCTCGCTGGCTGCACCACAGACGCAGATGTCAGGCGGACTCCTTCCTTCATAAGGTTCTCATTATTAGCTCAACCCGAGCTGAATATTTGACTGAAGGAAAAGACCATATCATTATTTTCAGATTTCATTCTATGACTTAACTCCGCTACATCTGCCAGCTTTAGAAACACCAAGTGCTTCTTGGCGCCAGCCTTGACGTTCTCCTCTGTGACTATTACCCCAAGTGTCTCAGCTTGAGGAAGCCTCCTCGCCATCAAAACAATTTAATAAAAACTGAAATTGTGATTAAGAGTTACTCATCAATTGACAGAGCATGCCATGCTCGTGCTATTTAAGAATTAGTCCCCACAATATTTTAGGACCAACAAATGGAATCTGCATCCATTAAGGGGTGAACTAAAAAGCCAGGAACTATTTTCATGATTTATAAAGTCTGTGTTATACTTGAAAACATATTTCTTTCATAGGTAAACTGGCATCTCTTTGGATAACTCAATCTACTTTAAATCTTTTCTAAGGCTCTGGGCAGCACAAAGGACATTCTAAAGATATTTAAATCCTCTATGCACCTTTGGACAATCTCTCAGCATAAGTATGATGGGATGCTATGACACTGGAGTACTTGTCAAGTGTAAGGCAGAATGTGAACATTCAGGTATTGATGCTAAAGCCATTTAGAATAATGTTACAGGTTACCCAAATTCTACACAAAAGAATATTTCATAAGCCCACTAAAACGTAAGGTAAAACAACAACAAAAAAGATGTAGCTGCTGCCACATGTCTGGACTTCATTGGTAATATAAGTCATCAAGCAGAACTTGAACTATCTTTGCTGATCATTAGAAAAATGCAAATTAGGGACTGGAGAGATGGCTTAGCATTTAAAAGTGCTTGCTGTTCTATCATGAGGACCAGGGTTCAGATCTCAGCACCTACATAGGGCATCACATAAACACCTATCACTCCAGCTCTAAGGGATCCGATGTCCTCTTCTGACTTCTATGTGCACCTCCACACATGTGCACACACAAAACACAGACACATAAATTCATGCACACGTATACACACATAAATACTAATTTTCCTACAGTAGAAGAACCCAGGGTTTATGTTATTGTTGCCCAAATATACATATGGAAAAAGCATGAAAGGCTTTACTCTTTGAGCATCTTACAGTCTTAGGCAGGACAGCCTAAGAGAACTTGCCCTATATCTCATCCAATCCTCTAAAAAACATTGCAGACAAATGGTCATTTGACTTCTTGAAAACTGTTCTCAGTTCACCACTACACACGGCAAGTTAGTTCACTAACTGCCATCTCTAATCCTGAGAACATTCTAAACCAAGTGGAACAAGCATTCTTGTAATTCTCAAACTGGATGACATTACTCTGGTTAAGGCATTTCATGTCTTAGGTTTACATCTGTGTTGTACCTGCCCATCAAACACTCTTGATTCAACCAATGAGTCCTCTTTTGGTGCCTATCTTCTCAGGGTATTTTCAGTAGTTGGGAGACCCACTTATCTGGTTCACACTAGCATATATTAGTACCTCTTTTAGGGTGATATGATCTAACTTATTACAGAGCTAGTGGAATCAATAAATATAAATAATAAGGGTCATTGGGGTTACATAGATCTTGAGAGTAGAGCCCTTATGAATGAGATTAGCAACTTTATGAACAAGACCCTTAAGAGCTCACTTGGCTTCTATCTATCACATAAGAATACAAGCAGAAAATGGCACTCTGAACCCCAGGACAGAGCACCCTAACCAAAGTTTAGCTATGCTGGTATCCTGATCTTGAACTTCCAACTTCCAGAACTGTAAGGAATAAATTTCTCTGATTTAAAAACCACCCAGTCTATGTCATTTTATTATAAACAAACTAACAGAATATAAATGATCTATGAGAATTAAACCTTTAACAAGATATAGGGAAGTAGGAAAAATCACATTAATAGCAATCTTACCAGAAAAAAGACATAAGATAAAGTATCACACTGCCTTAGGAAATATACTAACTACATAATACGGAAAAGCTTGAAATAATTTTCTAGCAAATATCATGCATTTCAGCCCAAATTTTAACATCAAGTGGCCAAATTTCTATTTTTTTACACTTACCATGTTGTATGTCTTTCATGTCTAAATGAAGACTAGACATTAAAATTCCTACTGCTTGTGATCTTTTGTTGCTCAGTAACTTGACAACCTAGTTATGAAAGAGGAAAATGAGAAACATTAAACTCTAATATGCTTCATAACATTTTTCAATCCTAAATAAAGAACAAATTAAGAGAAAACCTTATGTCATTCTTACACTATTGAAAATTGGGCTTTCCATGTTTGCAGACAGTTTGGGGGTTTCTACAACAAACCTTTAAAAATCCAGTATTTCCCACCCCCAGTATTCATCATTAGCCTCAAAGTTGTGTTTTTTTATCAGTCTTGTAAAATTTGATCTATTGAGAAATAAAATTTCTAAGCGTCTAGGAAATTATGGTTTCCAGAAAATTACAGTTACACATTTGATCAGATACAGACTGAGATTTTTTTTTAACATGAAGCTTTGAATGATTGATCCACAAGAGCAAAGTAAAAATATGCACAGAAAATCTACTAGATCAGATTAGTTGTATCATAGAATAGAAAGCATGCTTTCATTGGGTGGTATGGTCTTTAGGGTGAAGTTTATTTTGCTGGCAGTTCTTTTTATTCGGCATTTGACTCACATATGTTGGACAATTTTACAACTAATTAACAGAAGAATATAAGCATCCGATTAGAAAGAAAACATTGGCTGTTCTCAAAGTTTGGCTGTTCAGAAAGTCTGAAAGAATCCGTGCACATACCCCAACCAAGGTTCAAAAACCAGAGGTAAAAACCGTTAGAGTTTGGTCATGTTTGAACTCTCCGACAATCTATGCTGCATAGGAAACTTTTATCATAGCTCCTAATCCTTGAGGCTCAGTCAATTATGTTTACTCTCCTGATTTATTTTTAATCTGTTTAGAGAAATATTCAAGGAAAAGGAAAAAAAATTACAATCAAATTAATATAAAACAACATCTGCCTGAAGGGTTATCACCTTGGTGACCTTGTTTTCCTTTTGGTTTAAATTGAGCCAATCAGGAAACTAATAAAATAATCATATCCAGCTGTCACACAAGGTCACTGAATAAACAATATTAATAAAAGCAATATTGTTATTTCTCACCCCCTGGCAGGACAGAGGTGAGAAATAAAACTCTGAGAAGCACACTGTGGTCGAAAACAGTATCTCACAATAGATGTTGCATTCTCAGAGGGAAAACATGGCACATAGGATTTATTCTCAATTTTCTCTTTTAATAGTTTAAAATTTTCACTTGCAGAAACTAGTTTAAAACAAATATATGTCAATTACTTCGACAAACTGTTTCTGTGAATAGCATTGTCTTCTTTACAGCTAAGAAATGAAAAATTTGATACAAAAAAGTAGAATATTCTACTCTGAAAAACAATCTTCTAAGTTCAAATAAAGGCAACTGGGTACCACCTGTGCTCCCCCTACAGTTTCCCACTATCCTTAGGTCCTTCAGTGCAATGGCACAGTTGAATCCATGCATCATCTTCCTTCCTAGGCATGCTGACATGTAGATCACACTCTCACACCCTGCCCTTACCATGGTTTCTACTAATTCTTCTGTCCTTTTAAAATTCAGTTATTTGGATTTCACCTTAAAAGCTGCCATGGTCCTCAGCCCTGTTCAGTGTATCTCTTTTTGCCTTATCTTATGATCTCTAATTTCTGCTGTATGGCACACACACACCTGCCTCATTAACTCAGCAGTTTGCATATTTCCTGAAAGTTACCTCTTCTGAAATTACCCACAGCAATCTCTATTTGACATGTCTAAGACCAAATTCCTATCAATCACATTCCAAACCTTCAGTCAGTATCTCTTTTACGTCTTCTCTTGAAATAAGGGCACAGCTATTTTCTATCCATCTACCAATCTAGACTCCTCTCTTTCTTTCACCTGTACACTATGTTTGGAATCAAGCCACACAAGAACCACTCTTTGTATTCTTGGGAGCCATGCTTCCATCTCCAGCCCAGTGTTTACTCTATATTATATTTTGCATCAATCAAAGCTAAAGAGTTGTCATTGAGTCCCAGTCTAATGCAGTCAGAACTGAGTTCTTTAAAACAGTATCGTAATCATTCACCTTGAAGTTAAAAATGTAAGTTCCTGGGCCAAAACCTAAACCTACTCATCAGAAAATCTAAAAGAAGTATCAATTGACATTTTGAACATCTCTATGTGATTCTAGAATCACTGATGGATTTTCGTCCTTCCTTTCCATTCTCCTAACATATGTCCAAATAAAAATACTGTAAAAATACTGGTATCCGGGTTGGAGAGATGACTCAACAGTTGAGAGCACTGACTACCCCTGCAGAGGACCTGGATTCAGTATCCAGCATCCACATGGTGACTGCAGCCATCCATAGCTCCATTAACAGGGGATTTGACAGCCTCTTCTGACTTCTGTGGGCACTGAATGACATGACCAAGGTATATGTGGGAAATACACTCATACACATAATAAAATAAAATAAAAACCACATAAAATGCTGGTATCTGCATCTTGACCTTTAACCTTTTTTTGTAAAACTGAGTGGTGCATATTTAAGCATTAGTCTCTGAAAAGGTCATACATAAGGCTCCATAATTCCTTCTTGAAACGTGCTTTTTCTAGTATATTTCAAAAACACTTGATTACAAGCTGTAATTTATATTGTCCTACATAGGAGAGTAGAAATAATTTTCTGACATCTGCCAGGAAGCAAAGCATTCAGCAGTGAATGAAGTTCTATAAGAACAGATTTACCACAGTCCTTCAGTGTACCTCCACCTCTGTACTATGAATCACATCCATTTCTTCTTCTTCATCCAACACCCTGGATAAGAACTCAAAGCTCTCAAGCTATCAGAACCACTAGACAAAAGCAGAAAGTACAGAACTAGCATATTTGAAACCCTTATGATTAGAAGCAGAGCCTAAGGAGTTGATTTGAATATTCCTAAAGTCATATTAGATCAAATTAATTGTTATCTTTAGACTTCCCTGGTAGGCACAACCCTGCAAGGATTAGGAATCCAGACTCTGCAAGATGAAGCAGTGTACCTCGCCCTTCAATTGCACTGAATTGTCTGGGATCTTTATAAAATACAGGTTGAGCTGATTCACCCAATCCATCGAAATATTAATTCATATACTACACTGAGGAAGAAAACAGATACATTCATTATTGCATTTAATTGTACATGAGAATTACTGTTTTTTTCTCATGCAATTACAAAAAAATAAAAAAGAAATTCAGACACATATAAGCTGAGAGAAGTCTTCTGATGCTTGTAAAGGTTTTTTCCCTTCATATTATTTTCCTGGCATTTTATATGATCAGTGATTGACATACTTTCACCGGTGTAAGATATATGGATATTTTCATAAATATTCACATACATCATTAAATATTAATTTTAGTACTATTTCAATATCCCGTTAATATAGTTGGCTAGACACCAAATTTCTAATAATAGGAGCTGAGTATAGTTTATACTAATGCAATCAGTTAAGTATTCCAAAATTTAAAGGTAGGCACAAATTTGTACCAAAGTTAAAACTAGATGTTTTCACCATGACTGTTGTTCACCTTCAACCACCACTCTGTGAAAGTGACCAAGACAATGTCACTACTGTATCTTCCACCCACTGTCCATCTAAGCGGGGAAGGGAAGAAAGGGCAAATTGGAACACAGTCTGTTCATAGCGTGGCTCAGAGACTGTCTTCCACAAGCATGCAGAGTGAAGTAGAGCTGGGAAGCGATAATTTCCCTATTCTAACAGAGACCCCTGTAGGAGAGCTGCAAGTCTGGGTCTGAATACCAGATTCAACATTCTGCAAACCCTTGAGCACCTTAACCTGTTTGACCTTGTGCCCTGAACTGTAACATGGGGGATGTACACCATGGAGGGCCCCCATGAAGATGACTGGAGTCACAAAGCAGAAAGAGACTGGAAATGCAGAACACAGGATTCTGCCACACTCACTGCAAGCTGTGAGTCACTAAGACGCCTAAGGGAAAAACTAGGAATTTTATCATGATCTTATGGAGTAATGCTTGGCATCCGGAATCTAGACTGTATTCACTTGTTTAGAGGAGTGTTCTAATTTTATTTTTTCTAATACTTATATATGCATATAGATGTATACACACACACACACACACACACACATATATATACATATATATATATAAAACTTTATGAAAGTGTCAAAAGAGGTTGAGCTGAGTATTTAGAATCTTGTCCTCAGTCAGCTACCACAGCAGGACGGGCACTTACGCCAAGTGTTTCCCCAGCCACAAACGTTCAGGTTTTTAACCTCTGAACATTACTTGTCATATAACTGCTCACAAGTTTTCATTTCTGTTTTCTTACTGGTGCTGGGAACCAAACTCACACATGCCAAATCAAGTAATTTCAAATATAACCAAGAATTCTCAGGTGACTTTGAAAGCCAAGTACTATGGGAAGAACAGACAGGAAGACAGCTTCTTACTTCCTGTGCATTTTGCCTCAAAATCATGTTCAAAATAGCAAAACAGCATCAGACTAATGCATTATGAATGCCTATTAGGATTAGTACCTAACGTCCTTCACTAATAAATTAAAGAGAAACCTTTAATATGATCCTTAATGGGAGACCTGCAAGCAACAGACTAAAACCAGCATTAAGAAAAGAACACAAAAGCTTTCAGTCACTAAATCTCATCATCTAATACAGAACAAGTAGCTGCATGTGGTTAACTGGGTGCTGGTAATATGCACAAACCATAAGATTCTGGCTTTGTTTTATTTGGGAGGAGGGCCTTTTATGATGAGAATTTCAATGATCTCATTAATGTTTATATTGATGACACATTCAAATACCAACTCTGCATCCTATAATATGTTAACATTAATTTTTTGTACTTTTTCATAAACTTTAAAGTATCATTGCTAGAAAACTTAGTTATATACATATATCACATTCTATTTCTCTTAGGCAGTCTCTCTCTCTCTCTCTCTCTCTCTCTCTCTCTCTCCCTCTCTCTCAGTTACATTTGAATAAAAGAAGATAAAAATGACTTCTAAAGCCAACCATGATTATACATGTCT